CCCCCTCCCCCCCCCCCCCCCCCGCAGATATGATCGTACTCAAAATGAAGCAGATGTGCATGCCAGCACAGCTGTACTTGGCATGCGGGCCAGCAAGTACAGCAGGTAGCTAGTACAGCAGGGACAAATTCAATCCGAACGGCGAGCCGTCACTGCAGTGTCCCAGCTAATCGTACGAAGCAGATGGATGGATGGATGGATGCCTGCCAGGTGTGGATGGCGATAGAGAAAGAGAAAACCTGTCTGCCTACCAGACTGCCTACATGTGAGTTCAGGTAGGTGATTGTAAGTGCACAATCATCTCACCTACCTAGTAGTACTGCATCTCATCGCCAGTAAGTACTTACCTGTATCTGCTGCTGACAAATGGAGAACGCACACGCAAGTCATTTGGACATGCACAGCGGAATGCATGTATGAGTCAGTCGACGTATGTACGCATCTGCACGCACAGTGACTCATCCCACCCCGATCCTGAGAAACATGTCATCTCCCCGGCGTGGCCGACCCCTCCTTGCATCTCTCTGTCTGTGCCGCCACGCGACACAGCCGGTCGACCGAAGACGACTCCACACACGTGGGGAAGGGCAACACGGCCGCTCCATAGACGTTTTGCAGCCCCTCGGCTGTCTGCCCCGCCTTGCGCTTGTTCATGGCCACCAGCAGGCGCATCTCGTCTTGCAGCCGGACGGGCTTGGGGTTGGTGCTGCGGGCGAACCTCGACCGTCCCTCGGGGCTCAATGCGTCGCTGTCGCCCGTCTGTGTGGAGACCGACTCGTTGCTCATGGAGGGGAAGAACAGCGGCAGGCAGAGGGAGAGGCCGCGATTGGTGATGCCATCGGTGGTGCCATGTTGGTGTGGCGACCGCTGGAGGGGCGTCCGCTCGGGGCTCAGGCAGCTTCGCAGTGACGACAGGAAGCTGGGCCGACTCGCCGGGCAGGGGGCGAAGAGCGCCGACCGCAGGGCTTGGCAGCGACCGGCTCGTGTGCATGGTGTCGTTGCGCGTGTGTGAGGCGGCCACGGGTGTCGTGCATCCTTCGTGCTGTAGAACGGCGCCACGACGGCCCTTGGGTGGCTCAGCGGGGGAAAGGCCATGAGGAGCATTGAGACTCGATGACGCCTCATTGGTGGACTTGGGAGAGGCGGCCGTGAGCGGTATGGGGAGCGAGGGCAGGCGTGCGACGTCCAGGGTCTCCCCTGTACCTGTCGAGTCAGCGACCGAGCCACTGCGGAAGTCGCCGTCCATGAGTGTGGGCGTGGTGACGGGTGTGTCGGTGGCGAGATAGCTGCTCGGAGTGGTTGCTGTTGTCCTGCTGCTGCTGTTGTTGATGCTGTGCATATCAAGTGTATGCGCCGACGAGGCAGGCCGTCATGACGTCGTTGACTGTCATGGACTGTAAGCCCCATGAGCGACCGGCGACCGCTGGGACGTACACAGGCGACTTTGGCTCGTCGGCTGCTCGTCGTCCCGGTAGTCTCGCGAGAATAAACCGGTCCCTTCCGCTGCCACGTGCCGCACCCAAAGAGGGATTCGCGGCAGCTGTTCTTCTTGTCGTCGTCTGTCATGCTGGCCGCTGTAGGCTCACGCGCACCGGCAGACTCACACGCCGCTGGTTGGACGCCAGTGACCGGCGCATTGACGGAGCGTCCCAGCACCGCTCCACAGGCCACGTGCAGCTCTGCAGCAGCAGGGATGGCGCCCGCCAGAGCCGCAGAAGTAGTCATTTGGCTGACGAGCGAGCGCTGGGGAGGGGGAGGGCAAGATGATGGACGGAGGGTCTAGCAGGTCGTTCGTGTGGGTCTCAACCAGAGCTGCAAAGGACAGACGCCACATGATCCGTAAGGCGTTCCATGCAAAGCAGCGTGGTTGTTAGTGTCTCCCTTACCTATTTCGTCAGCGAGTGTGGTGGCGGCATCTGGCAACTATCACGGTGAACGGGCCCCCGAAGACGCCGCCATCACTGGTCTGGTCCTCAACCGTTGATGAGTGGGCGGCTGAGGCGAACGGCGGGTCATCCAGCGTTACACCCTCCAGCACATGCAGCCGCCTGCACACAAAACAAGGCCATGTAGGTTGTGTATGAATGAATTCATTCCTCTCTGCATGTTTGCGAGATATTCTACACCAGACGTCCAAACAGAAAAGAAACGTCGACCGGACAGACCATCACCCACACACCCACACCCACACACACTCTCACACTCACACACACACCTAGGGGAAAATGAGTCCCGAGAGGCCTGCCCCTTATGCGGCCCCTCCGCGTAGGCAAGAGGGCCCAGCAGCACAGCCATCCGCCCATAGACCCCAGCACGCACAACTCTCCTCAGACGCTCTTCCTCAGCCGTTCTCACCACCATCATATTCACAATGCCGTCATCCGAATCACAGCCGTCTTCATAGTCAACCGGGCCCTCACACACCTCTTCATGTTCATTCACACCACCACTCGGCTGCCCTGCACCGAGCCACTCGTCAGCATCGAAATTGGCCGCCTGCCGCCTCGTCAGCCTCTGTCCATGGCTGGATCACCATGGTGTCGTGAGTGAGGCGGCAGCCCCTCTCACGACATGATGATGACAGCCGGGCCGTCCGTGTCGAAAGGTGTGCCGAACGGCATGCTGAATGGCGAGCCTAGGTCGAATGGCGACAGCGACTCGCCGGACCGATCTGGACAAAAGTGTGCACACGCACAGTGGCACATGTATGGTCCGTTACCTGTACGTGTCATTGTCACCTGCTGCTGCCGGCACTGGCGCCTCTGTGGGCGGGCACTCAGTCACGATGCGGCGCATCTCTGCACACAGAGCGAGAGATAACGACATTGTGTGAGTGTGGACTCACAGACCCACCCGTCACTAAACTGATTTCATTTCTATGCAGTACTTCTCCATCATCTCCCTCATCTGCTCCACTGAGCCACCCCTGGCATGCGCCTCGCATACCTTTTTATACAGCTCGACTGTCATCATGGACAGCGGCCGAATGGTGTCCATCAGTTTGTCGTCACGGTCGATGGTGCTGATGGCGTCCTGGTAGGTCTTCTCTACAGCCCCCACATACTCGTCGGCCAGCAAGTCCACCGGCAGATGGCGCCCCTCCCCCGCGGCCTGCTCACACATGGCCACCACCTCACGCATCGCCTCGCGCGCCCTCCGGTAGAGCTGTGTGGCCAAACTGGTGGCCATCGACCACCAGCAGCAGCAGCGAGCACATGACCGATACCATGTCCGACTCATAGCCGATGGTCTCGTTCTTCAGTGCCCGCCGCTGCAGGATGGCCAGGAGATTGTGGAGGGTCGTGCATGGGGCAGCGGGGCGTGTGGTGAGAGGCCGCGAGTCGCCAGCTCCTATGTTGCGGCTGCTCTCGTAATCGATGATCGCAACCTCGCCCGTCGTCTTGTCTAGGAGCACCACATTGTCGGGATGGAAGTCATTGTGGCAGATTTGGGCCTCGTGCAGAACAAGGACAGACTGGACGAGGTTGACCGCTATTGTCATCTTGAGGAGGGGCGGGACAAGGCTCACGCTCTCGCAAAATTCGCCCAGAGATACACCTGCATGACACAAAAAGAGAGCGACGTCGGCTGATGCGCAATCGCGACGCCCGTGTGTGTATCGGTTGATCGTGTTGTGCTCACCTTCGCCGGCCTGAGACATGATGATACATGTTCCCGTCCCCGAGAGCGTCTCGCCTTCTCGGCTCACGACTGGCCGGAGTGCTTCAAGATCCTCCACCACCGCCAGCAGCTGAGGCGAAATACTGGTAGTGCCCGTCGGGGTGGGCGACGCCAGGGTGGCCAGCTGGCACTGCCGCGGCGCGCCCCCCGCTGTGGTCTCGATGGCGGTGTTGACCTCGCGCAGCCTGGCCGCCTCCTGCCTGAGTGTGGCGCTGAGCTCCCTTGCCCGCTTCGCCCCCTCCCTCCGTTGGTCCTCCGTAATGTACTTGCACACAGCCTCGTGTGCGTCGGCCTCTGCCTTCTTGAGCAGCCCCACCCATATCGAATACTCCCCCCGACCGCTGCATAGCAGCCTGCGGCACTCGAATCTCGTCCAGTGGTCGACATTGATGACGTCACCTGGGTCCAGGTATCTAGACGCATCGAGGGGGGGCATGATGACGGCCGGCTGGGTGTGAGTGGGCGGCGCTGGGGCAGTGGCCGGGAGCAGGTCAGCCTGGTGCGGTGCACGTGGGGGCCAGTCGGGAGATGGCGACATGTCTGAAGAGAGAAGGAAAGAGTACGTGCATATGGCTCGGGAAAGGAGTCCTCCACGTGTGTGGGTATGCACACGTGTACCTGTTGAGTCGTCGCTCGTGCGCTGTGGCACGTCTGTCGTGCTATCAGCAATCTGCTCCTCCTGCTGCTGCTGCTGGGTCTCCTCGGCTGGCTGCCTGCCGTGCCTGTCGTCCTGCGCCTGACGCAGGTGCTCCTCGGCATACATGAGGGCCTCGTTGAGAGCGGCAGTCAGGCCGGCCTCTGTCGCGGCGCTGTCACCCCCCGGAGCCGCGGTGAAGAACAGCTGGCCGTCGGCCGCCGGGAGGCCGCCAAGGGCCAGAACAAAGGCGTTCTGGTCGGCGGAGAAGCGGAGGATCTCTTCCGGGTGACCGAACTTGTCACGCAGGAAGGCGTTGTTCTGCTGTGCCCATCGGTGGTGCAGCAGGGCCATGCCCATGGCCGCTGTGGTGTTGGTGGTGTCTTGGGAGGTTGACATGGCGGGCTGCTGTGGCTGCAGTACGTGGGGGAGGGCCGGGATGGCCATTGGGTCGGCCGCGTTGCCACTGGTGGGGATGGGATAAAGGTGGGAGGGATGTGGACGGGGGAGGGGGACGGGGAGGGGTGGGGCTGGATCACTGCTAGACGCAGCAGCTGCTGCTGCAGAGAACGAACCTGAGGGCAAACCATGACACATGAGAGATGAGTTGAGTTGACTGCTTTTCGATCGCTTCCCATTGCTTACCATGCTGATTGGTCTTGCCGTAGGCGATCTGTGTGCCATCCGTGGCCGATGCAGACGGTGTCCTCTTCTCGCGGCTCCTCGGTGAGACGATCGTGGGCAGCCGTGGCCTCACACCACCCGACACCTTGGACGGCCCGACCTCCCTCCCCATGTTCACGTGGCCCTCGTGCGCCCGCATCACCTCCTCGGCTGACATGGGCATCGGATGCGCACCCGCGCCCATTGAGTTGGCTGCTGCCATTGGCACCGGCGGCGGTTGCATCATCAGGTGATGCGGCGGCAGATACATGCCCTCTGGCGTGAAGAGGGGCGGGAAGGGCGGGAAGAAATATGGATGTGGTGGGGGTGGGGGGAACGCCGGGTGTGGCTGTAGCGGGGGAGGGGGGTGAGGGGGGGGCCCGGGGTGTGCGGAACGGTCCTTATCCGCTCGGCGTCGACTCGCGCCGCTGAAGCAATTGCAGAAGCAGAAGCCGACAGGTGCACGCGGGAATCCCACGTGCACCGGCCGACTGCCTGCTCTGCTGCAGCGAAATGGGCAGCTCCTTTCCACGACGCCGCAATCGCCTTCATCGCCGCTGTCCACGTTGAAGTTGCGCCGTCTCCGACGCCGTGGCTTCCTTGGCAGCTCCGGCGAATGCGGCCGTGGAAAGGGCTGCTGCTGACGCATCGTCGTCATCTTCGTCTTCATCATCTCACTCTCATGAAAGGAAGCTCGCACGCCTGCGAGCTGATCTCGCAGCATCAATGTCAAGTCCCTGAAACCGCTGCGATGTCAAGCTTGGCGACGCGCTGTGTTCTGATGCTGGGAGATAGATTGCTGGTCATTTGCAATGTTCATTCATCAGGAGTAGCCTGAACCCCATATACCCTACGGGTCGTCTTGGGACAGCGCTCCGTCGAAGATCTCTGCTCCTGGTGGTCTCGTCGAAGATGTCGTTGCTCACAAGGCCCTCCCCTTGCCTCGCCGCCGTGCCAAAAGCTCTGTCGGCCGCACTCCCGGCGACCTTCTACCGCTCACCGCTTCGCTGCACCGCCTTCCACCCTCTGCTCGTCAGGCGGCACCTGTCAACCACATCACAGACGGACAAGAAGGCCGATGAGGCCGAGGGAGCCAAGCCAGCGAAGAGCGTGTTCTCTGAGTTCCCGTTCGGCTACACCGCTGCCCAGGGCGGCGACACGCGGCACTTCAGGCTGCGGATGAAGACGGAGGGCGTCATGTCCAGCGACCAGTGGGTGCCGCACCCGTCAGAATACCGCATGCACCACCCAGTAGGAGGGAGGGAGGGAGCTGCACACGTGTCGTAGCGTTTTCAGTGACGTGCTGTTTGTGTGTCTGTTGCCGTTCTGGCAGATCTGGAGCGATGCCGACGTCGAGAACGTCACGTAAGAGCGCAGCACATTCACGATAGCTTGGGAGAGTTGTCTGATGATGCATCCAATGCGTGTTGCTCAGGTTGGCGCATCATCCGCCTGAGGGGTTTTCGGAGCACCTGGCCAGCTGGACTGCGCTGTCTCTGAGGGCGCTGTACAACACCACCACCGGTCGGTATGCACTGCCCGTGACACTCACTGCAGGCTGAACGTGGCCGTGTGTTGTGGTGGTAGGTTATTCGTTCGTCACGCTCAAGTCCTCCGGGTGGCTCCGTCGCATGCTGGTGCTGGAGAGCATATCTGCTGTGCCAGGCATCATCGGCGCCATGAGTAGGCACCTGCAGTGCCTGCGGAAGTTCGAGTCGGACCAGGGCTGGATCCACACACTGCTCGAAGGTCAGTCGGCTATTCAGCAATTGAATGCAGCCTCATTTGGGCGGTGGGCGTGTGTGTTTGTGCGTGTGTGTGTGTTGGCTCAGAGTCTGAGAACGAGCGGATGCACCTGATGTTTGTGCTGGACCTCAAGCACCCATCGGTACTGACGCGCATCAACATACTGGCGGCACAGGTGCGGACGGACACACAGGGACCGCGGGCGCGGGCTCGGCCCTCATCCATCTGCAAGGCTTGCGTGTGCTGTGCTGTGTTGTTTCTGTCAGTTTGTGAGCATCGTTGGCTACGGGGTGTCGTACCTCATCTCGCCCAGATACTCCCACAGGTAGACAGGCAGGCAGGCGCGCAGGCGCACACATGTTCGACAGCTATCTGTGTGTCGTGGTGTGTTGATTTTGCGTGTCGTCGTGCAGGCTGGCCGGCTATCTGAATGAGGAGGCCGTGCAGACCTACACCACACTCCTCAACGAGGTGAGAGAGATCGGACCAAACCACCGCCTGGGCTACACAGGCACAAGTAGCTGTGTCCACTGTGTGTGTGTGTGTGTGTGTGTGTGTCATAAGCTGGACAGCGGCAAGCTGCCCGAGCTGGCATCCATGTCTGTGCCGCCTGCGGCTCGCGACTACTGGTGTCTGGCCGAGAATGCAACCATCAAAGACGTCATCCTGGCCATGAGAGCAGGTCAGACACACACACACACACACGCACGCACACACACAACATGCCAGAGGCGCGTGTGCATCCCGTGTGTGTGGTGGATGCATTGTGCACTGCTGCAGATGAGAGTTACCACCGTGCTGTCAACCACACGTTTGCGCGGATGAAGCCGGGAGACGAGAACCCCTTCCTGCCCAAATACTGACCGAGCGATCCGGCAGCAAAGCGATGTAGCGTACCTGTCGTACTTAGATGCGCGCTGGCCTGGCCTGACAGCCTACACTAGAGGGAGGCCCTTTTGCTACGTGGGTGTTTTTCGGTCCTTTATCGGTATGTGTGCGTCTTTTTCCCCTCTCTCGTGTTCTGTGCAGAGGTGCATGTTGGCAGCTTCGCATTCTCCCGCCCTGCAGCAACGATGAGTCGCAGCAAGCACTTGCTGCGCTTGTCGTTGGCACAGGGATAGAGGATGTCATGTTACCAACGATGCACAATGGAATTTTCGCTTGTCCACTATCTGATTTTGTATGTTCGTGGTGTCGCGCGTGATGTTCGTGACGCTCGCTCGTTCAAGTGGAGCTGTCACGAACGTCACGGGACGGGACGGGCGAACGGACAGAATCAGATCCAGACAGACGGACAGACAGACAGCGAGTCGTTTGATGGCCCATTTTCCCCTGCCAAGTGTGTTTTTTATCGGTTGTGTCATTTCCCTTGCTGTCCGTCATGGCACGTGCTTAGCTCTCGCTTGGTTCTGTCGATGCGGCCGGCCCTCTTGTCGGTGCCGTCCTTGTCGAAGATGGCTTTGGGTGTTGCTCAGTCTCGTCGCACGCCCATGGCACCTTTCTGATATGAGAGATGTCATGGACGTCGGCGGCACGCTGGGGAAACACACAAAGCCAGCATCCCGACACAAGCGGGCTCGAACTCTCTCTCTTGGGTATATTCGTGGTCTGTATTGTATTCTCTCCCTCGCTGTTGTGTGGTATGGGGGAGCGAGACAGAGGCATCCATCCCTACCTGCCGACCCACGTGGTGTGATTACTGTCACGCAAGTCATTGATGCATGTGTGTGTGTGTGTGGTGGCCCTCGGTCGTGTTGAGAAGACTGGCTTCCTTGCGAGCCTTGGACATGGGGGCATTGAGATGCACACATTTGAATGGCTCAAGGTCCGGTGAGTGCGAGAAAGCCATCTTCTCAACATGAGGAGAAGACGAGTGCAATACATTACATATCAACAATTAATTCGTTCGCGATACATGAAGGAAGGCACACAGGTGTCCATCCAAGAGAGCTATCCATCCGCCTGTCCGTCCCCCTTTGCCCCCTCACTCTCTGACCTCCGCCACCCCCCCGCTGTGGATGGTGTACTTGACCCTCACGGGCCCACACACCGGGCTCTTCTGCACTATCAGCTCACGCTCGCCCATCTCCAGCTGCCACGCCGGCAGCTGAGCCGTCAGCTTCACACTACTCACTCCCGCCCGACCAACCCCAGCACCACCCACCAGCATTGGCTGCGACTGGTCGCCATCCTGCCCCTCCTTCTGCTGCTCGTCATCATCACCCGGCCGCTGCTCCACGCTGTATGTGAGCAGGAATCTGCAGTTGACGGCATGGTGCCAGAGCGGCCCCAGTGCGGCGTCGCCTGCCTCGTCCCATCCGCCCCTGCCGGCCACCTGGTTGGTCACCACCACGGGGATGCCGTGCTTGTTGGCGATGACCTTGAGCTTCTCAGCCAGGGAGTTGAGCTGCATCTGACGCGCGCCCATGGCTGATACGGGGGCCGACTGCTGAGGCGCAGTGGTGGTGGTGGTGGTCATGGTGCGCTTGGCGGCGGCCGTCACCGAGTCGACGATGACCAGCTTCCAGTTGGTCTTGCCGCTGCTGCTGCTGGCGGTGTGCGGAGGTACTGTTGGTGTGTCATTGGCGAGTAGGGGTGCGAGGTCCTTGTCGATGTCGGTGAGGGAGTGGCACTCCATGACGTGCACGCGACCTAACGCCTCCCGCACCGCCGGATGCTCAATGGGATCCATGTCCATATCATCGTCATCTCCTCTGTCGGCCGACATCGTGGCCCCACCATCCACCCGGCTCATGAGCACCTCACCCAGCCGCTCTGGGCTGAACGCGCCCTCGGTGTCAATCCACATGACGCTCCCTCCCCCTCCCCCTCCAGTCTCCTGCTGCATCAGTGCCGACTGGGCGAGCGAGAAGCACACCTGCGTCTTGCCCACGCCAGCTGGACCGGCGAACTCGAACACCTGCCCGGCCGCCAAACCACCCTGCAGCCCCCTGTCGATGGTGGGCAGTCCTGTCGGCAGCGACCGGGCGTCCAACCACAGGTCGCCGAGGCGAGAGGGCGCCGGGGTGATGGCGGCGAAGCACTGGTCGACCAGTGCAGTGGCCACCGCATAGTCGATCTCGAGGGTGTACATGAGGACGAGGGGGTTGCCGTGGCAGAAGTGGATGAGCTCCTGGCAGGTGTGGATGGGCGGGGAGTGGCGAAGGGTCTTGACGCTGATTGAGCCTGGGTGCTGCGAGATGATGGTCTTGAAGGTGCGGATCTGGTCAGGGGGAGGGTTGCTGCTGCTGCTGGAGGGAAGACGGGTGCGTGCGCCGGCAGGTGGTGGGGCGGTATTGGCCTGGTGAGGCCGAGAATGCACCCCGGGAGGGCGAGGGGTCCACATCCTGGAAGACACACAGCGAGAGAAGCAATGTATTCTGCAGCCGTATCGGTACAATCTGAGCTTCTGGCGTACCTGATGCGTGCAATTGTCGCCGAAATCTCATCAGTTCGATCAGCTCGCAAAGATGGAAAAGGAGCAGATGATAGATCTCGTTGTGATACCATGCTTGAATTAGGATCAGAAGCCCAACTTCTTCGCCATCGCATCGCCGCTGCCACCAAAGGGACGAGAGGGTGAGTGCAGAGAGAATAACGACACTTGCACACACCAATGGACTCATCTTTGTTGTGTGTCCTCATCAAAGAGACCGACAGCACCCAGTGGCTGATGCCATGCTTGCATCGCAGGTAAGACTCGCAATCATCAGAATCTGGCCTGAATCCTCGTGTTTTCTTCCTTCAGGTTTTGAGAGTCGATGGAGGATGAAACACAGGCCATCCCGCCACTGATCTCAGATGATCCTGACAGGACCTTCTGCATATCCGACCAGGAAAAGGCCTTCCTCAGCGGTCTCAGGGGTGCCCTGGCTTCCCGCGAGCACTCGTGGAACAACACGGCCTCGGCCATCTTCAAGGATAGATGCCGCAAGTGCAGGCGCATGCCGGGGCTTGTCAAACCGGCCCTCCTGACAGCGACCGATGCCCTGGATCTCACACCGAGGCAAGAGCCGCAAACGAACTTCGACGAGCGATGCTTCCTCGTGGGCACTCTGAGCATCGAGACGTCCGCCACAATGAGATCCACATCATCTGGCGGAAGGGCATCAGAGGGGCCAGCGAGAGCTGTCTTCACGGTGGATTACCATGGCAGTGACGACGGCATAGACGGCAAGGCGGAGCTTACGCCACAGTCCTTCATTGTGGAGATCGCTGGGCGTTTTGACCGCTCTCTGTTCGGTGTGCCCATTCTGGTGCCTGTGGGGGCGGCCGTCTATCACCCACTGCAGAGCTACACCAAGCGGGTGGCGAGATCAGTGGTGCGGCGGGCATTGCGGAAGGTGACCGAGGGGCGTGCTGAGGGCTTCCTGCATCTCGACGCATCCCAGTGTCTTCCGCTCGTGTGTCTGCCAGACACACCCCTCCCGCCCTTGTCAGCCGGCGAGGCGGCCAGTGCCAGTCTGTGTGGGGAGGTCATCAGTGTGGGCCCTGTGCTGAAGCTCAAGACGTCCATTGACAAGACGGACGGCGAGCGGCTCTCATACGTCGTCTGTGTGCGTCTGCGGCACCCCCGCGGCCCTGATGACGTGTCGAGTCGCGCGACGGTGCTGTTTCTGGGCACTCGGAGCCTGCAGTGGCGGTATGTGCTGACACCCGGGAGCGGCCGCTATGCCACGACCCATCTGGTGCCCAAGATGATGACGCTCGACCAGGGGGACGACGGCCACCGTTACTCCATCTACCACTCGACCCCCCACACCACTTGCTATCGCCTTGCCGAGAATGCCGACATCGATTCCACGGATGACGGACTCCGCAACCCCCCGCCAATCGTCGATGTGCTCTCTCCGCTCCCCGCGGCTTCTGGAGCGCCGAATGCGTCGATATTTCAGTCGTCTTTGGGTGCAGCGGCCACGCCCATGAACGCCGCGAGAGCCTTTGTGGGTTCCGTGCCGCACATGACGCTATCGATGGGCATCATGATGGCGTTCTCACAGTGGCCCGGTGCTCCTGCGCAGCCGCAGAACGAAGGGGGGGAGGGGGAGGGGGAGTGTATCATGGAGGGGGATGGACCTGTCGCTCTGCCGCCGAGCGAGCTGCACTCGTGCAGCGGCGTGGTTGTCGATGGCTACCTTGGATGGGGCGCCTATATGTTGGCAGGCGGGATGCGACTGTTCCTGCACCAGTGGGGGGCATCCGAGACGCTGCACGGCACCATCCTCAAGAGGGGAACCAAACTCACCGTCCACGGCGCTCACCTCATCACCAAAGCGATGCCAGGTGAGTCAACACAGAGAGAGGAGAGCTCTCATCTTTGAACACAGCATGGTGCCCGACTGCTATCCTTTCACACAGGCCGTTCTAGTCGGGTGGAGTATGCGGTGGCCCTCTGCCCGCTCAGCACGCTGCTCGTCGACCACACCGATCGGACGACAGAAGCGCCGGCCGGCGGGGAGGCAGCCCTCTGCTTCCAGCTGCTGCCCCACACTCCGGGCTCCACCAGCCACGACGAGCCGCCCCCCTGCCCATCCAACATCTGCTGGCTGCACTTCTCCCTCGCACTCGACTGGACACGCAAACTCCCGCCCCGCTTTATTCGCGCCATGGGCGCCACACCAGCCGATCTCGCCAAGCCCCTGGTCGACCGCATCGTCAACTCTTGCCTCAGCCCGCCCCCGCCCTTCTCTCACCGGTCCATGCTGACGCACCAGTGCCCCGCGGACCCGTGCTGCCCCATGCTTGGATCGGACATCTGGGAGATGCCCCTGATGACCGAGATAGATGTGCTGGTCAGCTCGATCGCTCGGCTGGTGATGGCACTGAGGCAGAGGGGGAGGGCGGGGGCGGTTGTCGAGGCGCTTGGGAGCCTGCATGAGGATGCCGGGGCGGCGCCCGTGTGCATGGAGAGCCTGAGGGAGGCCCATGGGCGCGTCAAGGCGGCAGCAGGGGACATGGATGTTGAAGTGGTCGCACCATCCTCATCTCCGCCCCTCACCCACGCCGTGCCGTACCGGTGGCCGTGCCTCGCCGACGTCAGCGACTCCTTGCTCGTCAAGATGGCCCCCAACTCACACCTCACTCTCAAGCTCCCCAGCCCCCCCTCACAGCCACCCACCCCTCCACCAGAGCACCGACAGCCATCGGGCATGTTCATCACCGTGACACGGCATGACCCAGCCTCCGACGGCCCCCTGTTCATGGACAGGCCCCTCCCCCGGCAGTCCATTCATTTGCAGCGGTCAGCGGCCGTCACCATGGAGCGCAAGAGCATGGCCCTGTGTTTTGTCGACGGCATGCGCGGCGTCGGTGGCGTCATGCAGCCAGCGCAAGACCGGCAAGTGCGGATCACCGAGAAAGGAGATGGCCGGGACGGCGCGCCCGAGAGTGTGCTAGTGGTCCAGCACGACTGGCGTGGCGGTCTCAGCGGCAAGGTCACTTTCCTCAGCGACAGCTCGATGACGACGCCCCTGGTCCTCTCTGATGGTGGTTCTGGTGTTAACGTGGTGGATCTGTTCTTCGATGGCAGGCCGCCACTGGTCCCCTGGGGTCAGTCGGGGATCCGGCGTATGCGACGAGATCCCTTGGCAGGCGGCGTGAAGGTCGGAGGGGAGTCCGCTCTGCAGGAAGATGAGCAGACGGAGACCGGGGCGGCTGCTGCCGCTGCCGCTGTCGGTGCTGGCAGAGAGAAGTCAGCACCGGGCGACCAGCAGCCAGGATCCACATGGCCGCCCCCCGTGGCCATTCAGCTGGACAAGTGCAGCGTCGTCATGGCAGTCCCGGCCCCTCCCCGCCCACCCACCAGCCCCGCCGTCACGCACAAGAGCGGCACATGGTGGCCCCTCAGCGGCGTTCTCGGACTGGTCGCGCAACCAGATGCCGTCACGTTCATGGCAGCCGGCAAGGAGAGTCTCGAGCTGCCAGACACGGAGATGCGCGGAGTTCTGCTGTTCGTGACGCACAAGGAGTGCTGGGCGGATGAGGCGCACGGAGAGGGGGACGGCCGGACTGTCATCGTGTTCCAGCGGCTGACCAGTGCTGATGTGGAGAGGGGGCAGGGTCATGTGTGGAGCGGCCGGGAGGCGACGGATGTGCCCGTGCACATCTATTGGGCCACACAGCCGCCGTGCTTCTGTGTGCTCGCATGGACCGACAACGAGCAACCCTCACCCTCACCCTCTCTCTCCCCATCCCGCATCTCGATGCAGCTGCACCTCAGCACCATGCTGCCCGACATCCCCATGAATGGCGCCTTCATGGTCCCGCTGCCCATCCCCCTGCCCCCCACCAGCAACCAGCCGCAGTGTCCATTGCTCTGCACGCCGCATCTACAGCTCACAATCGGCAGTGGAGACAACCGCTACAATGGCACCTTCACGAGATCCCTGCTCTACCGGCTGGCGGACATGGCGGCGCGCGAGTATCTGGACGGCTACGCGCCGCTGGTGGTGGGGAGCGTGTCTGCTGTGCATGAGGTGGTGGAGAGGGTGCCCACGGGTCGGTTCACCGAGGTGAGCTTGGAGGGGTGTATGGTGGTCGATGTCATGGTGGTGCGGCTCGCCGATGAGAATGAGGATGGACTGGACGCAGCCACATCGACCCCCTGTCTCATCATCAGGTGACCTTTCACACAGAACCAAATCGGCCAGTGTGTCTGCGTTGTTGCTCATCGTGGCGTGGATCCTCCTCCTGTCTGTCTGTTGGCAGGGTTGCGTTCCCTGAGAGCCGATCGGTGCTGGGGGTCGGCTGGCTGGACGTCTGGGTGCCATCGGCGCACTTCGGTCGCTTCTCCCTCATCCAGCCGGGGCAGATATGGGACTTCCGTTCCCTCGCTGCCTGGCGCCACATCACCACCACTACCCCCACAAGGCAACAGCACGCCCCTACCCCCAAGATCCGCTTCTACACTCTGCCCAACCCCGAGGCCCCTTCCGCCCCCCCTGCATCGTCCTTCACGCGCGACCTGCCCGGCTTCGTGGTCGACTGGCTGCAGCGACAAGGGGGGATGAGAGAAGACGACTACAAGCGGCATCTCAACCTGGTCGGCCGCATCACTTACTCACCCCGCGCTGCCAGTGGCCTCTCATACAAGCCGCCGTGTGTGTGGCACACCGCACTGGGGGTCTCCTCACGAACTGAGGCGATTGCCCGGGGGTGGACGGAGCCAGATGATGCGGGTGCGGACGCGACAGCCGCATGTCCGTCGGTGTTTCGAGTCGACCCCGGCTACTACCGCCATCGATACGTCATGGCCCCAACGGGCCTCATAGCCAGAAAGCATGCGGGCGGGGGTGCTGCGGGTCAGCTAGTGTGTGGGGGCGAGAAGGCCGTGCTGACAAGCGAGGAGCAAGGGAGGCTTTGGTGCGTGTGGGAGATGGCCAAGCTGTCGGGCGGTGTGCCTTTGGCGGGTCTGACGGCACCTCAGACGCTGGCGCGCTGTCCGCTCAATGAGAGTGAGGTGCGCCTGTTCGTCGGGTCGCTCATCGCCACACTAACCGTCAGGTAGGTCCGAAAGAAGAACATGACACGAGGTAGGAGAGAGATGTGTGACTCGTGTTGTGGCGTATGTCGTCTCTCAGGGTTAGTGCGGTGTGTCCCCTGTGCGGCGCGAGGCTCCTCACCACCCAGCAGCCCCTCCCCTACTCGTGCAGTGGTGGCTGCACCACAACGACCAACATGCAGGTGTCCCCATGCCCCGCACTCACCCTTCTCGGCATATTCGAGGACAGTGCATCAGGCGTCACCCTGCCCCTGCTCCTCCACAACGATGCCGTATTGACGCTGCTGACCTACGCGCCCCCGCCGCCTCCCGACCCGCCTGCACCGGCCGTGAAAAGACACAAGACGACCGACACCAGCAGCAACACCAGCAGCAAGACCGCTGCTGCTGCCGGTGGGTCGGGGAGCAGCCATCAGCAGAAACGGCAGCCACAGGGTGAGAGCCCCTCTTTGTCGACGTGTCTGCTGGATGCGGCCAAGGACACCATTGCCATGGGTGGTGAGGTGGCCATCTACGACGCCCTGGCAGCGGGGCACGGCAATCGCCACGAGGCATACAGCAGGGACACTGGAAGCGGGGCGGTATCGCATTTGCGGGAGTTTGTGCGGGTGCCGCCCGCCCCTGTGGCGCACATGTGTGTGGAGGGTCGGCTGCGGCATGTGGTCAAGGCGAAGAGAGAGGATGGAGGGTTGTTGGTGCTGGAGGGGGTGTTCTGGCAGAGACTGCGGGTGGAGGGCGAGGTAGAGAGACTCATGCGAGAGGTGGAGGGCTAGGCGGGCGGGTGATTCGATGCATGTGCCTCCATCCATTTATCCATACACGCGATGTGCATCAGCAGAATACATGTGTATAAGGTACTGTGTTGTATGTATGTTGTGTATGTGTGTATGTATGTGATGGGGTGGACTTGCCCACCTTGTTGATGGATGGCCATCCCTAGTTGAATCATTCATCAACCCACCCACCCACCCCTGCACGTCCACTCCACACTGTGATTGCACCGCATCCATGCACACAGAAGGCCAAGCTGTCAACGCCATCCATTTACTTATTCAAGTCATCCATTGCAGTCCATCCATGTCTCGGCAGGAGCTCGCATAAAAAATCAAGGCAGGGTCTCCCATCTGCTCTTGCTGATGAAGGGCGGGTGGCTGCGCCCTCCTTACGAGCACCCGCTTGTCACCTCCTTTGTTCGCCTCCTGCCCAAGGGCCGCTGAATATACACAAACAGCACCGGACATCACATGCACGCCAGACAGTGGGTTACTCACATATAGTGTTGTCCTTGGCTGCCAGCTGCACTTGTGCGGCCGTGGCGGTCTGGCCGACACCGTAGATGTTCTCCTGCAGCGCATCGAGTTTCTCCCTCGCCTCCTCAGAGAAGGACAGACAGTTGTGGTACTCGTCACCCGCCTGAGACACATCCACTCGCCTTTGGCTATAATGGGTTGCACTTGGAGCACCTCACTCACCCACCTTGTGGCTCTGCAAGACTTCGCGGTACACGCCTAACTCCAACCTGCCACCACAGATACCACCACACCACACCAGACCACACCACAATGCAACTCGTGTATTGGTCAATGTGCGAGTCTCTGCGTGTGTCAGGAGCTCGAGCTCACTCGGCCAGGTCCTTCATGAAGCGCTGTGTTTCATCGCTGGTTGCCCCGTCTCAGTGCAAAGTGCAGAAACTCGCGCAGAAGTGTCGGTGCGGCTACCTCAGTCACGCCCATGCGGACGTCTGACTGTTGGGTTGGGAGCGGAGTGTGTCTTGGGGGGTGTGTGAACTGGTGTGCTGATGGGCGACTTGGCGATGCGTGTGGCGTCTGGAAGGGCGAAGCAGGGGGGTTGGTGGCTGCGGCTCACTGCTGGCCGTGCCGGTTGTCCGTGCTCTCCTTCAAACAATGCCTAAGGACAAGCAGATCACAAAAAAGTCGCGACGCGCCCCCGGAGACGCCCCCACGCCCCCAAGGCCAAATTGCCCAAGGCATCTCGGCGTCTCTTGTGCGCGCGGCCTTCCCTGTGTGCATCAGTGATTCACCACCCGATTGCCTCACAAAAGAGACAGTATCTCCCCTATTCCAGCCATGGGATCGCTCGAGAAGAGCAGACTTCTCCACTCGGAGCCAGTGTGACATGGAGGTAAGAACATTCAACACGCACTGACACGGGATGGCATTGCAAGCGATCAAACAAGACGTATTGGTTACTTATGATGGCTGCAATGCAATGCGGCGCTCTCTGTTGCTGTCTGTGCTGATTGCATTGCAGATGTCCCAGTTGTGCTCTGACGCCCTGTACGTCGCAAGTCAGACGACACCGGACCAACTGAAGAACCTCTTGATACGTAAGCAGACGTCTGGCCCGTCGATGCGATGCCCTCAGCAAAGGCAAAAACCCACAAAGTTTTGTTCTCTCTCTTGTCAGGTTTCGAAAAGGAGCAATTGAGCGGCCAGCCGATATCGGCAGGCGCCAGCCCCTCCGCCTCGTCCTTCCAGACACCCACTGCATCACCCACACGCGCCAAAGCATCCCAACTCGCCCCTCCCAAGACTCCTCAGTCTCGTCCAGCAATAGCAGCAGCAGTGAGAGTCGGTCCAGCTTGGCATATAGCGAATCCCAGTCCTCCCTCGCCTCGCCGCTTCTCTCGGAGGATCCGTCGCCGCACATTTCTGCCCGGGACGGCCCGAGCAGGCATAGGCAGAATGCCCGACATGGGGCAGAGACGGCACGAGCAGGCATAGGCAGAATGCCCGATACGGGGCAGAGATGGCATGACGGGGCAGAGACGGCATGACCTTCAGACGCGTCCAACCATGCCAACCGGAGTGCGTGTTGCGATGGCGTGCCGATGGATGTGACTGACTGACTGACTGTCTGACTCGCACAAGTGAATGGACGGACGGAGAGAGTGCCTCTCGGGATACGTACGCTACATGCATGGCACCGAAATCGTTCGAGCATGGAGACAGATAGAGGTCCATTCATTCACTTGATATACACACACACACACACACACCCCGTCTGTGATGCATATTTCTCCATCCATCCACGCGACGATGGGCATCGATCGGCGCATTATGTGTCTAAAGAGTACTTGTGCATGGTCTTGAATTGTTGATTGATGGTCCATCCATGGAGTTGAATCGTACGCACACGAACGTCTTTGGCTAGGGTCGATCAGCGCATTCATGTCACCCCCACACACCCCAATGTCTCTGGCAGGAGAGCATTAAAGAAAACACACGCATAGAATATAAAATGTAGGCAGCCATGCATGGCCTGATGGCCAACAGCCTCTCCAGAGCATCCGAACGCATCCGACAGGAGGACCGTCCCTGCCACCAAGCACAGCACACAACAACGATGTGTGTGGTGTCTGGAAGACGACGGCCTCCTGGTGAGAAGGTGAGCGGGGAGCAGGGAGCAGCAGATCGTCCAACGGCTCGCTGCTGCCCCTGTGAGCGGTGGCAGTGGGGGCGTGTGGATAGGCGAAGGGGACGGCGATGGAAGCGGAGACTCAAAGGGGGTCTCGTCCAAGATTTATGTGTCGAGATGAAGCGAGCACTTTCTCTTCTTCAGCTTTTTGTTCAACAAGTCGGCACCTGCAGTGTTCGGTGGCAGACGGACGAGAGAGACGACAGAGAGACAATGAAGGGAGACAGACGACATAGACAGATAACGAACCCCTGTGTACCGTCTACGATGTACCACTGTCTCGATGATCAGATAGTCGATGATAGTCTCGGCGCCCCACGTGACGTCGAGGACGCTCTCCTCGACCTGACGCAGCTTGGCCTCGGCTTCGGCAGACAGCTCGACACCCTTGGAGTACAAGGCGTCACGATACACACGGCCCTCAAGCCTGACACGTACGGCCACACACAGCACACCACAACCAATAAATGCGATGCCTACGTGTCTTGGTGTGTGGTTGTTGTCTCCCTGACTCACTCACTCACTCGGCCATTTCCCGCTTGAAGCGCTCTGCCTCGATCTCGACACCGAGCTGCACACGGCTGCCGCCCGAGACGCTCAGCAGGTGCGCCAGGACCATCTCATGATAGTCGACAAACTCTGGGCCGTCCTCATTCTTCTCGAGGCCCGCCTGCCGCCACACACACCACACAGCACCACACCGCACCATAGCACAGCACAGCACAGCACAGCACAGCCTCTCTCCGTTCGTTATCTGCACAGCGGCTGCACTTTGCACGTACCATGAGCCTCTGGTACTCTTCGGTGGCCATCAATGCGTCGCGGGTGCGCCATATTTCCTTCTCGGCGTCCTTGACGTAGGCCGAGTACTGCTGGCGGACGGCGGCGTAGAGGTCCTCGTGGATGGCCTTCTCGTCGGCCAGATCCTGCTGTAGCTGAGCCTTGGACGCGACCAGCGTCTGACGGACATGACATCGATCGACAAGACAAGAGAGCTCAGTCAGTCAGTCAGGTGTGTGCGTTGCATAGAGTCAGCAAGTATATACATATGAGTCTGTCTTGACCCAACCAAGCCAGCCAGCCACCCACTCACTTACTCACCTGGACGCTGCGGAGCATCTTGTTCTTCCGCAGACACTTGAACTGCACCTGACGGTCGGCCAGGACGTTGGTGTGCCTGACATCCAGCCTGCAGCAAGCAAGCGAGCAAGCAAGCAAAGAAGCGAGCAAGGAATGGCACACATAAATAGCATACATACATACACATGGGATTGCATTGCATCGCATCGACAGGACCTCTGTCTCTCTGTCTGTGTCTGTCTGTGTGCTGTGCAGTGCTGTGCAATCACTGATCAACTGACTGACTTGGCGAGGTTGGTGAGGTAGATGGCCGACTTCTTCTTCTCCCGCTCGCCCTCCGACTTGGCCTCGTCGAGCTTCTTCTTGACCTCGTCGAGCTTCTTCTTGACCTCGTCGAGCTTCTTCTTGAGCTCGTCGCGCCGCTTCCTGAGCTTCTCGGCGCGCCTGCAGAAAGCAGAAAGCAGGCGCACACACATGCATGTGTGTGTGTGTGTGTGGATGGATGGATGAATGGATGGATGGATGGATTCGTACATACTTGTATTGCCTTTCAAGAAGCTCGGTGCACTCCCGCAGCCGCTCGCTGCTCTCGCCTGCTCGAGTCGTCATTGTCGCAACACACACAACAGCACAGACAGACAAACAGACAGATATCTAACGAAGCCGTGTGTACTGCACTGTACCCACCGGAGTGCGTCCTTGGTGTCATGCTTCTCCTCGCGAAGTCGCTGCGCCTCCCTCTCCGCGTCTTCATAGGCCGCAAGCGCCACGAACGGACTGCTCTTGCCGCTGCACTCACTCAAACGCACACCACACCACAGAGAGAGAGAGAGCACCTTACTGACCTTTGTGTGCGTTGCGTTACAGTGCGTTTGTGCGTGTGAGTGCGTGCGCGGTGCGGCCAACATGATCGTGTGTGCCTTGCCCCTTCGACGTGTTGTTGACTTACGTCGTTGTGTTGCGTGTGGCGATGCGGACGCGCGACATCGACTGCTGCAGCGCGGAGTTGGTCCTCTTGAGGTGGCTGCATGGCATGGACCAAACACAAACACACAGATACATACGCAAAATGGATGGCATATGAATTCGTTCCTGTGCTCATGTGTGTCAGTTTCTCACGCGACTTGTCTTTCCAGCTCCATGATCCGGGGGTCACGCTCTGGCTGCTGCTGGTGACCGTGAAGCTGGGCGTGCTTTGTCTGTGTGTCGTCCTGCCGGTGTGGGGGGGACTGGTGTGGGTGGGTGTTTGTGAGGGCGGGGAGCTGGGCGGCGAGGGGCGACAAGTAGTGCTTGTGACGCAGTAGCCGATCCAAGTCCTCCTGGTGCCTGTACAGTGCCATGGAGAGACAGATGATCAGAGTAGACAGACAACACGCTTTCCCCTGCCCAGTGTCAGTCATCATGTCACCTACTTGCTTCTGCGCGTGGGGTCCATCTCGCACACCTTGGGCAGGTGCTTGTAGGCCACGTCAGGCCATCCCATTGCCTCGTAAGCCAACGCCAAACGCAAATGCGCCTGAAAGACAGCTAGACCACACACACGACAGTCACAGACACACACCTCCATGAGCACCAATGTGTGTGTAGTGTGAAGTGTGTGTATTCAATCCCCTTGCGAAGTTGGGGTTGAGCTGCAGGCCCTCGTTGGCGTCCGCAATCGCCTTGTCGTACTCGCCGTTCCTGTGGTGCGCCAACGCCCTGTGTGACACACGCACCCCCCATGATCTGATCTGTGTGAGTCACACACATCGCGGAGCCAGCCGCACTGGCTGGGCTGTATGTATGTGCTTACCTGTCGACGTAGACCGCCTGGCATTCGAATTCCTCCTTGCCCAATCCGCAGTCACCCTGACTGCAACGCATCTGCACAAATTAAACGCACATGGACCGGACCCACGACAAGTTAACCACATTAATTTGACTCTCTCATACACCCCTCCCTCTACCGTACATACGTGTCGTCAACTGACTGACCTTTTCAATGACTCGTGAGTAGGCAGTGATGGCCTGGGTGGGGTCCTTCCTCTTGAGCGCCGCATCCCCGTCTCTCTTCAGACGCCGCAACCCGTTCCGAACCCCCCGCACCCGCTCGGCATCGGATGACCCACAGACGAGGACGCAGTGGAGCCCCATGCCGGGCTCGCGGGCTGCTCTACCGTGGCAAAGGGGGTGAAAGTGGTGGTGGCGGTGCGAGTGAGGCAGATGGGAGGCGGCAATGCACTCCTGAATGTCGCCCAACGGTCCTCAGTGGTCACTGCCGGGCCCGTGGGGAATGGGATGCATCGCCATATCAATCACGCCGCACTCATACCAGACAGACATTGAGCAGAGAGAGAGGGAAGGATGCAGAGGCGCTCAGCTTTCATTCACCCGAACCACAGCAAGTGACAGACACACAGACGGACGCAGCTGAGGAAATGGATGAGGAATTGAAAAATTAACTGTCTGTCTCCAAAGAAATGCGCGCTTCGTCTCCTTTCTCTCGAGAATCTCGCCGGTCAAGAGCAAGCCTGAATTTCAGCCTTTTTTACATCTGCATCATGACCATTCCGCAGGGCTCAGCAGATCCACCTGTCGTGCCGCCCGACGCTATTGCCGAGTACCAGAGGGATGGCGTGGCGTGTCTGCGGCAATTGTTCAGCACGGAATGGATTGAGCACCTCCAGACAGCTGTTGACGAGGTCCTGAGAGACGAGCGCAATGAGGATCTGGAGGTCTACACGCCCAAGGGCGAGGCGGGTGAGTGCGAGAGCTGCCGTTTCGGAGAGAGGTCAGGGCCCACACATGCTCTTCTTCTTTCTTTCTGCCTTTCAGGTCGGTTCTGCGGTGAGATGGACTGCTCGCGCAAGTATCCAGCCTTCCAGCATTTTGTGTTGGCTTCGCCGGCTGCATTCATCGCGGCGCAGGTCATGAGGGCCGACCGCTGCAACTTCTTCTAGTGAGTGCATTAAACGACATGACTGACGTGCACTGCACATCTCAACCGGCTCTCATTCTGGTTGGTTGCAGCGATTTCCTCTTCGTCAAGGAGCCCAATACCGCGCAGCGGACCGTGTGGCATCAGGATCTGCCATATTGGGCAGTTCACGGCGACCAGATCTGCTCAATATGGTGGGTGGGCGCAGGAATCGCGGCCGCTCTCTGTTTCATCGTGTATGCTGTCCGGCAGGCTGCCTCTGGACCCAGTGCCGCAGTCGACGTGTCTGGAGTTCGTCAGGGGCAGCCACAAGTGGGGCAAAGCATTCGCCCCTTTTCGCTTTGCAGATGGGCAGGTCTACCCCGGCATGGAGAACGGCTTGCTGCCAAGAGTGCCCGACATCGAGAACAACCGAGGCGACTACGACATCCTCTCCTACGACATGCAGCTGGGTGACTGTCTGGTGTTCAACGCCAAGATGCTGCACTCGGCGCCGCCCAACGCCAGCCACACGCTGCGGCGAAGGGCCTTCTCGACACGCTGGATGGGCGAGGTGGGTGGGCGGGCTGGCAATGATTAAATGGATGGGGGAGCTCTGCAGTGGCGGCGGTTTGTGTTGCGTTGTCTGTTTGTCGTAGGATGCCCGTTTCGATTTGCCGGCTGGCGAGGCGAGAGGGTATCCCAACTTCGATGTGGCGTTGTGCCAGGGGGGAGAGATGACGTGTAAGGCCTTCCCCGTCGTGTGGCCGCCGTCACACCCCGATGTGACCAAGTATCCGGTGTCGTCATCGCTGCCCAAGACCGCATCGCTGCTGCAGCCGTTCGACGGCTATTTGGAGCTGCGGAAGAGGCAGGCGCTCAAGTACTCACAGAAGGAACAGAAAGAGATGGGAATGCACTGAGGGGGCGGGGCGGCTGTGCGTGTGGAAAGGGAGCTCTATATAGTGTGGCGGTGTGTGCAGTGAATGAGTGAGTGGCCTGGATGGATGGCTGAGGCCCTTTTCGGCCATTGATTGCCGCACGTGTCTGTCTGTCTCATGGAGTGTTTTGTATGTGAGGACTTCTGGCAACGCCGGCCCAATGATGAATGTCTGTCTGTCTGTCTGTCTATGATCAACCAATCGTCACACTCTGTTGGTGGCCGGCGAGGCGCCGAGTACTTAAATAACCGCAATTTGCACACCAGCCGTTCCTTCCACACTCGTAAATAAACACAACGGCATTCACCAGTCGTGCACCACCCCAGCAAATCACCGATCGCATCACCACCAACACACAACACGACACACTACAATCTCATTCATGCAGGCCTCCTTCGCTTCGTCCACACAAACATCCGATGCAGTATCTTTCGCTTCCTCCTGGCGACCACTCTCTGCCGCATCTCGGCGCACTCCAGCCTCGTCAACACACTCGAGATGGCCTCTCGGACGGTGTCATGGGTGTCGGGGGGAAAGTTGTCCAGCTGCTGCAGCTCGACTCGATATCGCTGACGGTACAGGTGCACGCCGCCGCCGAAACAGACACTGTGGATCCTGCAGAGACACTCACAGACACACACGCTTCGTTCGTATCCCACTTGATGCTAAATGTGTGTCGGCCCACTCACTCACCTGACGGCTGTGGCGAGCCACGTTTCCAGCATGAAGTGGCTCTGCTCAGATGGCGGCAGGCAGGCAGCGCAGCAGGCGAGAAGGGTCGACAGGGCCACTAGATGCTCGTCATTGTCAGGAAGGGCCTCAGTGGCGACCTCATACGCTCTGCCCCAGGCCCGATCTGCCTCGTCGAAGTTCCTCAGCTGCGCGTGTGCCGCTCCCTCCATGAGACTCAGCTGGATGCGGTCGGACAGCAGCACACGGCGGGTCTGGAGGGCCTCTTCAACTGCGCTCTTGACCTCCTGAGGACACGGCAGATTACCGAGATGGCATTTGTGCGTCAGTGTGTTTTCCTGTGTGTGGGATGGTGTGTGTGTCCACCTGTATGTGTTGCAGTCGTTGATTTGGCGGCAGTTTGAGCAGCTCTTCGTCAAAGCCATCCTGGAAGGGCTGCATGACCGGACAGCCCTCCTCTGTCTGCGACGGGTCGTCCCTCTGCTCCACACACTTGGGGCACACGCACTTGAAGCGCTGGTATCCGTTCTCGGCGAGGACGGCACGGCGCAGCCACAGGGGCTCCTCGAGGTGCTCCTCCTCGACGTAGGATATGGTGAGGGGCTCGCCCTTCTTGACAGGCTTGATTGTGTGGAAGAGCATCCACTCGCTGATGGAGTATCGACACACATTGGGAGAGCAGCTGAAGGAAAACAGACAGACAGACAGACAAGGCGCTCAACACACACGTGCGTGTGCCGGCGGCTCTGGGTGGGTGGCTGGTCGTGTGGGTCACCTGTGATTGAAGAAGGATGCGAGGAAGAACAACCCGACAGCTTCCATCTTGTCGAAGCCTGCCTTGCTGTAACAGAACTGCTCGGACTGCTGGTACATGCCGAGAGCGTTGAGGCTGACCACCCACTTGAGCCGCTCCTTCTCTCTCGCAGGGTCGTCGATGTCAACACGACCACGGATCCGCTGCAGCATATCGGTCAGCTCCTTGTCAAGATGCCTGTCGAGTATCCCCCGCGTCTCGCCGCTCTCCCATTTGCCCAGCTGCTTCAGCTCCTTCTTGGTCCGGGGGTACAGACCCTTGAGCTTACCAAACACATCCCTCAGAGCCTTTGTCGACTCCTCTGCCGCCACGAGGATGACATCCACGAGAGCGGATAGCACACCAGCAGTGTCGATGCCCATCGGCAAGTCGGCCTCGCTCGCCGATGCGTCGTTGTACAGGGAGCGGTAGAAGCTGACGGCCTTGACGCCTGTTGCAATGGCGCATTCGGCGAGAACAAGGGTCCCAGCGTCTAGATCCCTGCTTGCCACGAAGCGCTCGCCAGATCCTCCTTGATCAGTCTTGATGGTCACCGCCCCGACATACTCATCCGGATCAAAGGGCAGACACAGGCCGCCGCTCCACAACGCGATGTTCTCCAGCTCCTCATCATCCTCGCCCTCATCTCCATCCTCCTCCTTAGAATGACACAGTGGCTTTTCCAGCAGCTCTTGAACATCTTGCTGAAGGAGCCTCACGCCCTTACAGAGGTTTCGCTGACTCCTCCATATCGTCATGGCAAAGAGCCCAAGGGAAACGCGAAGATCCCGAGCAGCAGCGGTTTCAGGGAGCACGCGAAGATCCCGAGGTCTGCGAGCTTACTGCAGTAGCGATCTTGAAGTGAAGGCGGCTGCAGTGGGAGTTCGCGCGTGCACGTAGCTGCCTGGGCCCTCTGCAGTTGCCATTTTGAGAGCGACGATGGCTCGGAGGCGTCGGAGAAGGTTTCCGACGGCACAGCGTGTCTGCGGTCCATCCCTGCTGCTCACCTACATCTGCTTCCGCCTCTGCAGCGCCTTTCAGAGCCTCTCCAGCCGCCCCGAGTTCCTCCCATCAAGACTCACCAAAGATCTCAGATCCAAAGCGGTTAGCGAGGCAGATCATGCACACAGCCACGCACAGACAGCCACTCATCTCCTGTACTGTGTGTTGAGTTGATGTCGTGTTCAGGTCATTCCATGGCGATCTGGCTCAAGCAGCAGACTGTCAAGCAGCAGACTGGTCGCTTTTTCAGCGGCGTCATCACAGCTCACGAAGCTCACACAGACCGCCGAGGACACGGCCGCAGACGCAGATGTGCCCAGCGACCCCGAGCCACCGGCCCCATGCCCTCGTGTGGGCGACATCGTGCGCGTGACGGCCAGCCACGTGCGCTTTTTTCACAAACGGGAGTTCCAGCCATGCGGGCTGAATCCAAAGGGCTTTGTGGGGCGGGTGGAGAAGGTCCTGGAATACCCCAACCTGACGGCAGAGACGCCTATCAAGGTGCGCTTCGAGACGGCCAAGTTCTCGGCACACTTCTCCCCAGAGGAGCTCGAAGTCCTTGGCAACGTGGCGGACGGATTCAGCGAAAGTGAGCCGAGCCACAGGAAGAAATATGCAATCGTATCTATCGTTGAGGTGGCTGCCTGTACGTGTTTGCAGGTGACGTGACGGGCAACGGTGAGCCCGATGAGGTCCCCGACGCCCTCCCCTCCCACCACCTGACCAACCTGGCCTGCAACCTGCTGGGCAGGGACCCGGTAGACTCCGACGCCATCTACGAGTCGAGCGGGTCAGGGAGGCGGCGCATCATCTGGGACCAGGACACCAAGCGATTCTTCATCTCATCGGTCGCCCAGTCGGTCGATGGCGAGCACCTGCCGCTCGCCAAGCACATCCCGCGGAAGATCAAGGACACCCTCAAGAGCGCCTTCGTCCCCGACAACGTCACGCCCGACTACTACGGCTACACCAGGTGGCGAGCCTTCCAGCGGCTGGTGTCGGCAACGGCCAACGTCTTCGGCACACAGGCCTTGTTGCTGGCTCTCGGCATCAAGGCCAGGCGGCTCGGGCAGGCGGCTGCCGTCTCGTGGGTGCTCAAGGACGCCCTCGGCAAGATCGGGCGCTTCCTGTGGGCGTCCAAGATGGGCCGGTCCTTCGATGTGGACGCGAAGCGGTGGCGGTTTCGGAGCTCGCTGCTGTACGCCATGGGCAACGGTCTGGAGGTGACGACGTACGTGTTCCCGACGTCATTCCTGCTGCTCGCCACGCTGGCCAACACGATGAAGCAGATGTCGCTGCTCACGTCGTCGGCCACGCGCAACGCCGTCTACAGTTCGTTCGCCGGCGGCAGCCGCAACATCGGCGACATCACGGCCAAGGGCGAGGCCCAGGTGGCCGTCGTGGACCTCCTGGGGATGTGCTTCGGCATCACTCTGTCGCGCATGATCGGCACGGGGCAGGCCTCCATCGGCCTGGCCTACATCATCCTGTCGACTATCGACATGTACGCCATCTATCGGGAGATCCGCAGTGTGGTGTTTCGGTGGCTCAACCATGAGCGGGCCAACATGGTCATCTCACAGTTTGTGGACGAGACACTCGCGGCCGTCCCGCCACTCATCCCTGACAACATGAGTGGGGCATCGTCACCCACCGAGACCACCAACAGCACCAGCAGCGACGCCACAGCTGCCGTGGAGTCTTTCAACGAGCGGGGGTTCGACCGCGGCCCCACCAACAAGCTCTCCTCGGCGCTGACCATCGCCTCGGCCACTTCTCTGGCCACCGACCAACTGGCCATCCCCACCCCGCAGCACGTCGCTTGCACCGAGCGCGTGGTGATGCCTGCACGAGGCGGCCCCCACCTGTTCAAGACCATCAGGCAGAGCTGCGTCACACCTGACGAGCTGCGATCCCTTGTGCGGATCTTCCGTGATGAGAAGTACCTGCTGCTGCCCGAGCCGAGCGAGGCGACGGTGGTGCTGCACACACAGGCGAAGGGAATGGACATTTTGAAGAGCCTGCTCGCCCGCCAGTACCTCCAGGCCTTCCTCAGCAGCACGTCAAGCCCAAGCCCACAGCCGCCGGCCCTGTGGCAGCAGCTGCTGCCCCGCCCGATTGCCTGGCGCATCGAGTGTGCCCGAATGCGGCAGTCGACCCACTCTGTCAAGGCGCTGCTGCCCCTGATCAAGCTGGCGCAATCTGTGGCCGACAAGACTTTCCCCACACTCCTGAGCTGCCTGCAGCGGGAGGGATGGAGCACTGAGGTACACACACTACAGATTAGACGGCAGTGTCAACATGCTATTAATTGTCATGTGTGTGTCTGGCTTTGTCTGTTTCAGCACTTCATGTTTGGCCGCATTCGGAGGCGGATGGAATGGGACGAGGCCATGTTGTCAAATGACGGCGCGGGAGCGCCAAATGGAGAGCCGAATGACAGCACTGAGATGGCGAGGGACCAGCAGCCCACTGGCACCCCATCGCAGAAGCAGCTGCAGGTGGCCTAGTCAGGCATGCTGGTGTCCCACGTGTCGTTGTGTGATTGATGTAGTGGGCGGGCCGGGCCGTCTTCAGATAAGGCGGCTGTGGTGGGGCTCTCTCTGTAGTCCTCATGTATCCTCACTGTTCCCAACACTTGCTGGGCGTATGGGTGGAGTGTGCGGCGTATGGGTGTTGAGCGGTGTGCAGCTGCCTGCGTGTTTCTGTTTGTTGTGTGGGGTGGGAGCATAGCCTGCCTGTGAATGAAGCGAGAGGACACTTCTTGCCCGGCGTTTGTCCTCACGGCTCATGAACACACTCTCCTCTTCGATCTGGACAAGGACTCATGGGATTTCTGCAAGACGCTGCCACCTTGTAGGGACGCTTCGAGTAGACGCACACGGCGGCAGACAGCCCCAGAGAACAGGCGAAAGCCGGCACGGAATCGCCTCCCAGCTCGCGTTTCGTGAAATCGCTGCGGGGAGTTGGACTAAAGCACGACAGGGACGAAGGTCGCAAGGATGAAGGTCGCACATCCCACCCCATGCAGGTTGAGATCTGGAAAGATCTTTCTCCAATCATCAAGGCGCTTCAGCATCACAGCTTCGCTCAAGGCGAATGAAGGATACGGCTCATCGCCATCTGCAGGGAACCAGCGGCCTGAGATGCTCAACCCGTTGCTGAGGCAGAATCTCTCTCAGCAGGGCTATCAGCTGGTCGGCACTCACAGCGCCGTCAAGGTCGGCTGCGCCGGGGCGATATGAATGACACACTACTGACTGCAGTGTGTGTGTGTGTGTGTTCTTGTGTGGTGACATAGATGTGTCGGTGGACAAAGAGCCAAATGAAAGGGCGGGGCGGATGCTATAAGCACACCTTCTACGGCATCGAGTCGCACAGGTGCGGTAGGTAGAAGGTATGAATCATTTCTCTGCAGCTCCTTGTTCACCAGGTGCATGGAGACCACCACATCCCTCGCGTGTGCGAATCGATGTGTCTTCTGCTGGTGAGCCGACCTGACCGGATCTCTTGCATTCATTGTGGGATGCTGTGCTGTGTATTCTGTGCTACTGCGTTGCTGACGTCAGGCGCCACCACACCCACCCCGTGAGCAAAGGCTTCCGGTGGACTGCTGATCCGCCAGAGATGATCATCGAGCATGCTGTTGCGGCACACAAGAGGATGGTCCAGCAAATGGCCTCTGCGCCGGGCGTCACACCAGAGCGGCTACAAGAGGCCCTGAGCCCTCAGCATTGCGCCCTGTCTTTGGTCGGCGAGCCAATCATGTACCCCCACATCAACCAGCTCACCGCCATGCTCCACGAGCGCCGCATCTCGACCTTTCTCGTGACCAACGGCCAGCATCCCGAGCTGATTCGCACCCTGTCGCCCGTCACGCAGCTCTATCTATCGGTCGATGCCCCGTCAGAGGACGCCCTCGTGAAGATAGACCGGCCTTTGTTCAAGGATGCGTGGGGCCGTCTGCTCGACTCGGTTGACGCGCTTCGAGAGCGGCGGGAGAGGACAGTGTTTCGGCTGACCGTCGTCAAGGAGTGGAACGACACCGAGGTGCAGGGCTATGCTGATTTGATTCATCGCGGCCGGCCCGACTTGGTTGAGGTGAAAGGCATGACCTTCCCTGGCGCGTCGAGGCAAATGCAGCTGCGGATGACGAATGTGCCGCAGCAGTGGGAAACCAAGGCATTCGCCCAGCAGCTCGTCGAGGCCCTGAGCAACGAACCGAGTGGTGATGGAGCAGAAGCTGGTCATGCGGGTGCGGTGTCGGCGGCCGCATCCTACTCATTGGCGTGTGAGCATGCCCACTCCAACTCGGTGCTGATCGCCAGCCACCGATTGCGGGACGATGTGACGGGGGAGTGGCATACATGGATAGACTTTGAGAGGTTCCATGACCTCATGGGGGGCCGGGGTGAGGGTAGTGGGGGTGGTGTAGTAGAGAGTGTGTCGTGCTGTCCTGAGGTGTACTGGCGGCGGACGCCTGATTGGGCAGTGGTGGCGTCTCCTTTGGGTGGGTTTGACCCGTCGATGGATGTGGAAAGGTGGGTGAGGCAGAGGGAGGGCAGACCAAAGCCACCGACAGAGTGAAAGAGAGGGCGACTGGATGGATGAATTGATTGCATCAGTCAGCACCTATAAATGGGCGTTCATATCGAAGTCTTCACCTATAAATGGGCTGTCTACCGGAGAAGGTGCCGTTGACTGCACGACATGGCACGGCACGACGAAGCTGCAAAGTTCTGATATGTCCGTCCTGTCAGCTGTCTAAGTGTGTCCGGCTCACGGGACGCCTCGCTACCATCACTGGCTGAGTGAGCAGCAGCCATCGACCCATCGCCTGGGTCCCATCTGCTACTTCACTGCCCCGCTCCCTCCTCTCCCTCTACCGTAGCCCTCCCCCCATATGCTAATCCGATGTCCCGCTCCTTCTCGAACAGCCACTACGTCACGCCACCCGCATGGTGTTGAGGATGCTCTCGTCATTGCCCATCTCGTGCTTGAGTGTCAGCTTGATGCCCCACCGCTGCGCCTCGGATCGCACCGCTCGAAAGATCACCTCGCAGATGCCCATCCGGCGGTCTGCCCCAGTGACGAAGGGGCGCAGTGGTGGCTGGGGCGGCTGCCCCGGCGCTCCCGCCACACCCCGCAGCACATGGACGTTGCCCTGCTGGAAGATAGTGCGGCTGGCGGCCGTCACGTACCGCTGCATGGCGTGGTTGATGCGTGTGCCGACTGGGTTCTCCCCGATGGAGAGGGAGGGGGAGGGGGTCAGCAGGGAGGCGATCGTCGTCTGGATCTCGGGAGGGAGAGCGACGTGTGTCGTCTCGCTGATGCGGATGGGTCGGGCTAGCGAGGCCGTGATGGAGCGGCTGGGCTGCAGAGCGGTGTTGATGGCCCGGATGGCCCGGCGAGGGATCTTGCGGTTCAGCAGTGTGCCGTATGCCTTCACGATCCTCCTAAGGGGCCAGTCTGCCTCGTCCCAATAGTCGTCCTCAGAGTCGCTGTACCAGCCGTCGTAGTCCCTCATCCTCTCGCCGCGGCGGCCGTGCTCCCTCTCATACTCCTCATCCTTGGCCTCTCTGATAGCCCTCTGTGGGGTCACGCCGGCAGCCGTCAGCGAGGCACCGTGCGTGAGCAAGTCCAGCAGATCAGGCTCGACCCGCACATCCGAAGGCTCGTATTCGTCGTCGTGAGTCATCTCCCGCGCCAGGTCCCACAGCAGAGTGCGCCCGCTCCTGTTGGGCGTGTTGATGTGCCCTGCTGCACCGAAGTGGTACAGGCGTTGGATGGTCTTTGTGCGGCTGAGGTGCGTCGAGAAATAGGCGTCCCACAGCGGCCCCCTGCCGTCACTGTCTGTTGCGTTGACGATGTCGCGCCCGCACACCTCGACAAAGTAGTCGATGAGCTGCTGCTGGTACTTGGCGCTGGTGAGGGGGCGCTGGCAGTAGCGGTGGATGGGCTGCTTGCCGTTGCCGTCCACTTCTGTGAGGACAGAGGGGTCGAGCTCGGCGATCTTCTTGACGATGTGCAGGTGGGCAGCCGGCGACAGGCCCTTCTCCTCTTTGCCCTCTACGCCCAGCTCCGACAGCAGCTGCATGCCGTTGACGGCCGCCTTGTATTGCGGCTTGAGCAGGATCTCCAGCAGCGCCCACCGCCTTCGACTGATTGCAATCAGCAAACTCCTATGCTTCGCGTCATCGGTGCTCCCGTCGATCGGCGCCCCGGCGTCGAGAAGTGCCCGGAGCAGGTTGCCAGCCGATGAGCCGTAATGGTATGCGACCACCAGTTGCACCAGGCTGATGTCGCCCCCATGCCACTCCTGGATGCCGCCCTTGATGTTGGCCCCCTGCTCGATGAGACTGCGCGCCGCACCTTCACTGATTGTGCCGCACGCAATGCCGATGGCCAGCCGCTTCGTCAGATGGCACGCACCAGCACCGAATTGCAGCGTGACGGCCTTGCGGATGTTTGTGTAGATGGTGGCCGTATTGGGGAGCGATGCCGGGAGGGCGTCTGGGTCTGGCAAGGCTGTGAATGGCGGCGGGGGCTGGGAGCTGCCGAAGAGGGCCGACGGGGTGAAGGAACCCTCAAACTCCTGCACATCGCACAAGCAGACGATGCACGCAAATCCAGCTCCCATGTCTTCACGTTGCGCACCTGCTCCGATGGCATCACGGAGGTCCAGTCGCCCATGAAGCCCCCACAGTGACTATGAGCGTACATGAAGCGATCGACCGTGTCCGTGACGATGAGCAGGATGGCCGAGTGGTGGCTGGGGATGGTGTGCTCGGCGGATCGCTGCATGCGGCGGGCGGAGCGTCCGCCGTCGACCTCCTTCATGTGCTCGTGGCGCGTGCCGATGCCATCGGGGTCGGTCACGACGTACTGATACTGATGGTCGCCCGGCGGGATGGCCACACAGACGCGCCAGGCGTCACATGTGGGCGACGGACGGGCCATGCGATGAGTCTTGCCACCGACCAGCAACGATACTGATATATTCACAAGACGCACACATCCCATCACTCGGCATAGATCTGACTCTTTTCGTTCTCCGCCAGCCCTCCCTACCCTCGTACCTGACTCGCCATCCTTGACATCCTCCGGGGAAGCCACCAGCCTGAAGACCACAGGGACGGTGTGCGCCTGCGTGAAGGAGCGGAGGCCGAAATGGTGGCCCAGCAGTCGGCCGGCGGGTGGTCGGTTGTCCGTCATCTCGTCGCCGTTGGCACTCCCACTCGGCCGCGCCCCTAGCTTGGACGACCCGTTTCATGTAGTGCCCTAGGCTGTGAGCTTGCAGTCGAGCACGAAGCGTCGCAAGATGAGGATAACGATAGATCTGATAGGCCAGGCAGACCAGTGCGTCAGCCCTGTCAAGGACCGGATGATCGCTCTGCGGGGTGAGCGGCGGTCGGTCTGCCTTGCAGACGATGGCTGCATGAGCCACATCAGACAGACAAGAGCAAGACTTGAGGCCGACCTTTCCATGCACGCGTGACCTCTGCATCGTCTGTGTGTGTGTGCGAGTGTGCAGGGTTCAAGATCCCAGCAATTGAGAACCTCGGCGCAACCAACGTGAGCACAGCAGCACCATATGCATGGCTTGTGAGGTCTGTTTTGTTGTTCTCTGGTCGTCTTGTGTGCAGGATCACTATGACTGCATCGACCTGAGTGACAACGACATCATCAAGCTGGGCAATCTGCCGCCCCTCAAGCGGCTGAGGAGCCTGGTCAGTCCTGATTCACCCTCTGATGGCTGGCGAGGACGGGCAGCCCGCCGGCCGGCTGCATTTGTCCTTCCCTCTGTGTGTGTGTCAGTTGCTGAACAACAACTACATCAGCAGGATAGCTGACGACACGATGGACTCCCTGCCGAGCCTGACGTCACTGATCCTCACAAACAACAAGCTGGAGCTGCTGTGCGACCTGCAGCCCCTCACAAAGGGTCGGTCGGTGGGCTCGAGCTCGACACATACGGGCGGACAAAACACCGACACGCCTTGGTTGATATCGGTGTGTGTTGTGGTTATGTGGTGTGCAGCCAAGAACCTGGAGAGGCTGAGTCTCATGGGCAACCCCGTCACACTGTAGGCCCCACACGCCCCAGCCACGACGGACGCAGCCAATCCCTTCCTCGTATGTATGTCTGCGATGCGTGTTGGTGTGTGTGTGCAGTCGTCCGTATTACCGTCTGTATGTGATTCACCACATCCCTTCGCTGCGCTACCTGGACTTCCACCGCATCAAGGACAAAGAGAGGGCCGATGCCAAGGAGACATTCGCCGGCGAAAAGGGAGCCCAGCTCAAGGAGACCATCGGTCAGTCAGCTACGGGAGAGAGACAAATGAAGAGGGGGGACGGATGGGCACCAACGGCCTTCGGCTTGCGTGTGGTGTCTGCCGTTCGTTGATTCTTTGGTTCAGCTGCCCCGCGTCAGATTGTCAAGGGCGGTGAGGAGCAGCCCATGGCGGAGGCCGTCATGGCCGTCGAGCCGACGAGAGAGGACATCGAAAAGATCAAGGTGAGAGCACATGAGCAGTCAGTCGGGAGGTGTGTCGGTCACCTCACCCACCCTGCGTCTCGCTGCCCTTGCTGTTATGCTGCAGATCCTGATCGCCAAGTCCACGTCGATAGAAGACGTCACCCGATTAGAAAAGGTGAGATGACTGACTGTCGATTGATTGATTGGAGTCCGAAGCCCTCCCTTCTCATACGTACCCTCCTTGTTTTTGTCCAGCTGCTCAAGGAAGGTGGTCCCATCCCCCAGGAGCTGCTGGACCAGGTGGAGCTCCCCGAACGCTCTGACGTGCCCATCGGCCAGCCCCCAGCGCCACCTAACCCCCCTCCGCCTCCCACCGCACAAGAGAACGGGCAGTCCATGGAGCAGGAGCAGCAGCAGGAGCAGCAGGATGACGATGACGACAACATGGTCGTCGAGGAGAACGGGGCGGGCTAAGCCACAGACCAGACAGTGTGCAGCTTGTGTGAATGAATGTTCCTGCGGCCCTTGGCCAGTCACTCAATTGGCTTCTCTCTCTCTCTCGTACAGACAGATAGCTAGACGTGCAGGAATTCGACAGGTGTCTCTCTCTGATTTTAATGCATGTTCGTTCGACCGCCACCACCGCCACCACCACACTCGAGTCGCTACAGCATGGCATATGTACACCCACACCACACCGCACCACCACACCCCTACTAGGCACCCGCACGGCCCACACAGTCAATTCCCGCAACCTTCTCTCGTACGCGCCGACATCTAACCGTTGTCTTGTTTGCCAGGCGGACAATGTCATTCGCTGTCCCATCCCGAGTCGTACGGCGGCACGCATGGACTGTCGAAATCAACACTGCGGCAACACACGCACGAACGCAATACTCGACGTTGGCGAGAATTCATCGAGACGGAGACGGCACTTTTTTCCCGACGCGATTTCGCCCCGTATTTCGACAGCAATTCAGCGCCGCACAATTTCCTTCATCCAATCGCTGTTGCCTGAAGAGCCTAAGCCTGCCTCTGGCCGCTACCCCATCGCTGCGGCTCTTCTTGCAGCTTCGGGATCAGCTAATACGGGCGGGCGGGCGGGTGAGTGATGGGAGGCGGGGAGAGAGGCTGAGCGTCCGCTCTCTTTGCCGAAAAAACATCATGGGAAACTGCAGCAACCCGCAGCTCGAGCCAGGAGACTTCAGCGGCACGAAGGCCGCTAGCGAGAAGCTTGGCGTCAAGTGGTTCACGGAGTGGGAGGAGGCCAAGAAGGCTTACAAGAAAAAGTCGCTGGTACGTCCACATGTGCAATGGGGGCGGGCGTGAGACCTGGTGGCTGGCTGAATGTGCTGGCTGTGTGTGCAGTCCGGCGACTGCAAGCATCCCGACAAGGGCGGTGACGGCAGCGCCTTCATAGCGTTGAAGGATGCCCGCGACCTGCTGGAGCGGGTGCACCACAGAGAGGGCCAGGGGATGCTTCGGACGCCCACACCCGGTACGTATGGCGATGAGAGCGGGGATGCATGCGCAAGTGAAAGATCTGTGTGTGTGCCTTCTCTCCCTGTTCTCTCCCTGGGTGTCTATCTGGCTTGCAGCGAGCCAAGGAGCGCAAGGCGCGTCGGGCCACGTGCCAGGAGCTGCACGAGAAGCTGACGGCCCAAGAGGCCGCGATTGCGGAGACGCGGGAGGAGCTCCGGAAGTTCGAGAGGGCGCAGGAGGAGCGGGCCCAGAAGATGCGGGAGGAGCTGAAGGCCCAGGAGACCTCAGTGGCGCCCAGGCCGCCAGCGAGACGCTGGGCGTCAAGTGGTTCACGGAGTGGGAGGAGGCCAAGAAGGCTTACAAGAAAAAGGCGCTGGTACGTCCACACGTGCACTGGGGGCGGGCGTGAGAGCTGGTGGCTGGCTGAATGTGCTGGCTGTGTGTGCAGTCCGGCGACTACAAACACCCCGATAAGGGCGGTGACGGCAGCGCGTTTATAGCGTTGAAGGATGCCCGCGACCTGCTCGAGAGGGTGCACAAGTGGGAGGAGGGGGCCAAGGGATGCTTCGGACGCCCACACCCGGTACAGATGGCGATGAGAGCGGGGATGCATGCGCAAGTGAAAGATCTGTGTGTGTGCCTT